TTAAAACCACCACTAGCCCCCCTGCCTTCCTAAATAAAGTAATAACTTACTTGTATTCAAGGCTCCAGCTGCAGTCTCTGCTCCTGATCTGCCTGCATGCCTGACATCATCAGAACTAATTATGTGAGCAAATCACAATGCTTTCCAATAGGATTGGCTAAGACTGTCAATGAGGCAAATCAGTGGCAGAGCTAGCACAAGTCAAACAGTCCTGGGCAATCAGCATCTCCTCACATAGATCCATTGAATCAATACATCTCTACGAGGGAAGTTCAGTATCTGCATGCAGAGGGTGGATACACTAAATGGCAGTGCTGTACAGTGTACAGCACTGCCCCAGGAAGCAGCCATCTGAGGAGTAGCCAATTGAGTTATCACTAGGCTGTAATGTATACACTGCATTTTCTCTGAAAAGACAGTGTTTACTGCAAAAAGTATGAAAGGGAATGATTCTACTCACCAGAACAAATTAATTAAGCTGTAGTTGTTCTGGTCACTGTAGTGTCCCTTTAAGTTTGAATTTCAATTAAAATTAGCTTGGAAATACAGACAGTTCTCACTTTAGTAAATAACACTAAGTATACATACTAAAAATTTTTTTCGGAATATGATTTGATAAACATGCTGTCTCTGCTCATTTAAATCAGCTTTCTGGATTGATGTTATGAATTAATTCTCAGTTAATTGTGTCCTGTCCTTACAGGTTCAGTTCTGAATGAGTTAAAGCTGTGTGTTTCTTCTTCACTTTATTGACGTTTTGTAACAAAATCAATTCTTTAAAAATCCAGCTTTTAAAAAGTGGCTTTTACTTCTAGTATATTTAAACTCATTGGCACTGAAACCATGTATTAAAATAATCACACAAGTTTGGTATGTATGCTTGTGTGCCCTCCACATAGCTCAATCAAGGATCATTTTTGGTATGAAACTTTGAGTTTTAGCTTAAGTCAGCCTTTAATACATTTGACTTGGATGGGTCACATTATTCTTAGAATATTTATTTTTTTACACTTTTTTAAAATCATTTTTTTGTTCAATCCACAGACAGGTTGTACCAATAAATGTAAATAATAATACAAGGTGTATACAATATTGTACGAGCATACACGTTATCAGAATTTGCATTATGCATGTCAGTCTATGAATTGAAGTTAAACTTATAATATGCATGAACTTTGAACGGTACAATATACATCCTGAACAACTCTAAATACATTCAATACCATAAAACAGTGTGTCTTATTAACCTAAAAAGAGCACTATGTTAACCACTAGATCAGGCTTCCTCAAACTCCGGCCCTCCAGATGTTGCTGAACTACAACTCCCATGATTTTATGAATTAAATAAATAGGCTGAGAATCATGGGAGTTGTAGTTCAGCAACATTTGGAGGGCCGGAGTTTGGGGAAGCCTGCACTAGATGATCGAGAATGTGCTGAGAAGCACATATATTTTACGCTTTGCAATAGCAATATTCTGTATGTATAGCTGTTACTAATACTTTAAAGTGGGGGGTATAAATTTGGTATTTGAACCAATCAAAATGAGGGCTAGGGATGGATCGGAACGCACACCAAATAACACATAAAACGTTGGAACAAAAAAAATTAAACAAACTTGTTAAGGCCTCATTAAGCTTGGATATCACGTCACATTATATTATTCATGTTGTAACTGAAGCTTATGAGTCCGCTGTGGACTG